CCCCCCCGCCGTAGCCATTTTGGCTCAAGGCTGATGCTTTGGCGGGCTGAGCCCGCATTGGCAAGACTGGATCGCTCTAGTCCGAGCGTGGCAAGGTCTCTTTAGACCTGGCAAGTTTCTTCCCTCACGGCCCCTGTGTGCCAAGCCTTGTGCCCATCATGGCGTGGCGCCGCAATGCTCCCTGGTGGCGTGGCCGCCGCGACGGACGTGGAGGCCGCTACGGCAACGGCCACTACTCCGTGTGCTCCAAGTGCAGCCACTGGGAGTACGACCACTTTGGGAACACCGAGTGCAGCAAGTGCGGAGGCGCGTACGTCGACGATGGCCCTGGCACGCGTCCTCCTGCTCCTGCTGCTGCTCAAGTGGATTTCGCTGCTGACCTCAACGCGTTGGCGGCCAAGTACCCCACGTACGCGGCTGTGCTTGGGCAGCTCCAAGCAGCCGCTCCGCCGCCGCCTCCAGAGGTGTACGTCCCTGCCACGGACAATGACATCGAGAAGCAGGTCGCCGCCAAGCGCAGCGTGCTCTCGAAGGCGGTGGAGATGGCCAGTCGTAAGGAACGGGTACTGCAAGCGGATGTGGAACAGCGTCGCCAGGCCGTGGTGCGAGCCCGTTACGTGCTGTTCAATGCTGAGTCCAAGCACGCGGAGAAGGAGACGGAGCTGCAGGAGGCCGTGGACTCCCTTCGCCGTGCCAATCATGAGAAGGATACTTTCAACGCTGATGCCTATCGCCTCGAACTGCAACGTGCTGAGCAACAAGCGGCAGCAGCGGCGCAGCAGGCAGCCGCTGAGCATGCCCGCGCAGTCGCTCGTGCAGCCAGGGGCGTGGGCAACGATGCAGAGGCTGGAGGAGTTCAACCTGGTGGTGCAGGCGGCCAACCTGGTGTGCATGGTGTTCCAGGAGCTGGTGTACCTCCTCACGGTCCTCCAGGTGCGCAGTTGCCTGGCATCACTGAGAGCGGGCAAGTGGACTTCCAGTGGGTCCAAGAACATCTACATGAACTCTCGGAAGCGGAGCTGCAGCGGTTCCACCAGCGGTCGCATCTCTCGCCCGACCAGTGGATCGAGATGCGGAAGGTGGCCATCCAGCAGCGCAGCGCCGAGGTCGATTTCGACATGGGTGAAGAGGCGCAGAGTGAGGCCGGCACTGAGACTACTGATTCTCCTGAATTCAATGAGCTGGCAGCCCTGCGCAAGCGTGCAGCTGAGCGCGGACTCACTCCCGAAGCCTCTGAGCGCCACGGAGTCCTGCTCAGCAAGGCCGCCCGCGTTCGGGCGGGCAAACGCGCCAAGGAGGCTATTCGTGACCAATCTTCTGCCACCTTCTCTCTGTTCTGTTCGGCGGCAGCCTCCCAGCTCACCTTTGCTGGCAGCCAGCCAGCGGCAGGAGGGCAGGCGCCCGCGGCAGCAGCGGAGCCTGCCGTGCAGCAGCAGCAGCCAGCGGCAGCGGCGGCGCCTGGAGGGCAGCCGCCGCAGCCTGCGGCCGCAGCAGCGCACAGCGAAGCCCAGCCCCGCCTTTAGCGAGGCGGCCCCGCCGCGTCCGAGGCGCAGCCGTGGCAGGCAGGATGGCGTCGAGATCAGGTTTTGCAACGTTACCAGCTGGTCTGATGTCACCAAAGGTTTTCTCTCTTCCAGTGTATCTGAGATGGACGCCACGTTCATCGTTGAGCACCATCTCCGGCAAGATGGTGTTCACAAGGCCAAGAAGGATTCAAGAGTAACGGATTGGAACCCGTTCTTCCAGGCTGATCTCGACTCACCAGGAGGTGGTTCTCATGGGGGCGTTGCAGCTTTCTGTCAAAAGGGTCTGTCCTGCCAACGTTTTCTCTCTGGGCTCCAGGCTGTGAATGTTGGTTCGGGCACGTGCTGGTTCTTCCTGGAGTTCAGGCTTCACGGGATTTCCATGGCGATTGGTGTTGTGTACCTGGTGTCGTCTATTGGGGCGACGGGCGAGAATCTGTCTCGGCTGAGAGAAATCGCGGAATTCATTACCACCTTGGGTGTTCCCTGGGTCCTGCTCGGTGACTTCAATATGTCGCCTGATCTGTTGCTGGAGTCGGGTTTCCTGGAGATCATCTGGTCCAGGGTTCGAGTTCCTGACGATGTCGAGTATACGTGTGACGTGGGTATGACAATGATTGACGACGCTGTGTGTTCCAGGGACGTGGCCCCCCTCGTGAAGGTTCGGACGGTGTTGGAGTCCCCGTTCAAAACGCACGCATGCCTGCACGTCACGATAGACGCGGATGTTTTAGAGCAAGTGGTCCAACGTAGAGGTCGGGCTGGTGCGCTTCCTGTTGCCGCTGGGCCTGACCACCTGTGGCCGTACTATTTGAATATGGCCTGTGCAAGTGGGTTTGACTGGCACGCACCTCCTGATGTCAAGGAAGCCACCCTAGAGCATACCCTGCAGCATGTCTCTGATGGGCTTTCAGAGGACTACGCCTTGTGGTCGAGGACCTCGGAAATGGTTTTCCTGTCTCGGGGATGTGCGTTGGTTGACGAACCTGAGCGGCTCCTGGGACGGGGTTGTGCTGTCTCCAGGTTTTCGGGCACTATTCGGAGGCGTGGGCCCAACAAGCAGGCCTTCAATGTTCCGCACCTCTGTTTCTGGTCCATGGTGTACTCTCGGCTGTACGGATTGTGGAAAGCTCTCAGTGGGAAGGCTACCTTGGCGCAGGCTAGGCGTTTGGCTTCCTTTCTCGCTGGGCAGGCGAACTACGTTTACCTGAATATTGGGCCTCTCTGTTCCCCTGCTGATGCGAGCGAATGGATGGCTGACCTCACCAGCCTCCCCGACTCGCCTGATCTCGTGCACAGGTTGGTGGATAAGGTCGCCGACGTCTGTAAGCTCGCCTGGGGCAAGGTTAAGGCCTCTAATTCTGCTGGAATCAGGAAGTGGTTGAAGGATGCGTTACCAGGAGGAGCGAGGAAGGTTCACAACTGGTTGAAGAGTGATGATAAGGTGGCGGTGGAGTACCTGGTCGCGCCTGACGGCATCCGACAAACCCCTAACGACATGATGAAGTATAGGCATGATTTCTGGGCTCGCTGGTGGACCCCCACTAAGGAGCATTTGCAGGTTCTCAATGATACCCTTGGTGAGCTCAGGTCCCACGCCCAGACTTTCCTCCTGGAGTTGCCAGAGTTGGAGCCTCGGGACATCCTGCAGGCGGCAACGTGTTATGCTAGCGGCACTGCTGTAGGCGTCGATCAATGGTCTCCCAGGGCTTTCCTGCAGTTACCGTGTCAAGCGGTCCAGTGTCTGGCAGCCCTGTTCAATATGTGCGAGCAGGCCCTGACTTTTCCGCAGCAGTGTTTCTTGAATATCATGGCGTTGCTTCCCAAGTCTGTGCACGACGAGCGCGCGACCAGCAAGTGTTCCACTATGTACCGCATGTATGCACGTATGCGTGGTGATCACATCCATGAATGGACGGCAGAGCACACTGATTTCTGGGATAGTGCAGTGCGTAAGTCCTCAGCGTTGCAAGCAGCGCTTCTGCGCGAAGTTTGCCATGCAGTTGCAGGCGCTTTGAAGTTTCACTCGGCCTCTCTACATTGGGACATGGAGAAATTTGTTTGACTCTGTTGTGCCTGCCCTCTTGGTGCAGCTGGCTCTGAAGGTTGACTATCCTCCTCACCTCCTCTACTTCGGCATGCTTGTGCACACTAGCCCTAGAATGCTCGAGGTGGAAGGGGTCGTCTCGCAGGTCATTTGCACGGGCAGGTCTATTCTCGCTGGATGTTCGCAGTCGGTTCCATGGGTCAAGACGTATCTGCATGGAGTGCTCGAGCGTGCACATTGTCGCCTCCCAGTGGTGCCGATTCGTTCATGCATTGATGACATTACACAGTACATGCAAGGTACGCGCAAGTATATTGTCTCTGCTCTGCCTGCTGCAGCCGCCGAGTTCTGCCGAGATGTGGGCACACTTGATTGTTTAATCTCGCCTAAGTCTGCTGCAGTTGCATCGTCCTCTGATCTGGCCAAGGAGTTGTCTGCTAAGTTTGATGAATTGGGGGCCCCTATCTCATTCAAAGGGCAGGTGAATGATCTGGGGGTCATGACCACGGCGGGGAGGAGGATATGTGCATGGAAGATCAAGCTGCGCCAGCGGACGGCTTTCAAGCGCTCTCGTAAGTTGGCCTATCTCGCTCGCCTGTGCGGTCGATCCCGCAA